AGAAAACATCACTGTACCCAATGCAGACAACCGTGAATTGTAGCAACGCTTGCTGTCTTTGTCATAAGGCTCTCCCTTATAGTAATAATTTTTGCAAATACACATACGATCGAAGACTGAATAGCGAAGTCTGAGATGGAAGCGAAGATGAAGGACTTTTGAGAAAAGTTTGCCTTATAGGTGACAAAAAGCAAATTTCTCCCAAAAATTGAGAATCAGCTGGTGGAAAGTTAGAAAAACATGGCGCTACATGTAGGATTACTGTATAACTACAAGTAATTACTGCAGGTCTTTTCCATCACTGATATCGGAGTTTATGGGTTTGCATACAGAAGGCTTAGTAAGTTTAGCAACTTGCAGTGGAAAAAATTCCACAGAGAGACCGGTAAAGAATTGCTTACTAAACCAAACGGAACAACTGGTTATACTTCTAACTTAATCAGAAAGTCCTTACTTGAAGACTTATCCATAAGATCGATAAGACATTGATCATTATGACCCATCACTTTTTCATCGGTTTAAGCTTTTCTAAATTCTCACAAAAGCTTTATTTGATTCCTTTTTACGCAATACAAACTTTTAGTTAAGTGATTTAGGTTCAGGCTTTCGACGTCGATCAATCCTCAAAAGATGCCATACATTCGACTCCGTTACGAATTGTTCCAAGTGACCGAATATATATATAGCTTGTAGCATGACTTGCGGTGGCACACCAATGCATTAAGTCAGTGCTGTTATCGTTCCGTATAAGTCTAGTACGAATTTGCCAACCTTGGAGTGATGGAAGGTTTGGCGAGGCATAATCGCGAGATTGAACCAACGGCGTCATGCAAACGGTTCAGAAACATTCGAGTGTTTGTGAACGAGCTTGAGCCTATTTCAACAAGTGGGTCAGCATTAATTTTCAAATCACATTATGCTATTTGCTGACCTGTCTACACAGCTGATCATGAGTCTAGCCCTGAAATATGAGGGGTCGGTAGATGTCAGATGATTATCAGTAGATGTCTACTTATCTGCTTTGTTTAGTAAAAGGTAAGACAGAGGTCGTTGTTAGTTGGAATTCAAGTTGAGAAATAGCTGATGATGTTAAACCAGCCCCAGGTATATGTTCAATGTTAAGCCGCACAGAGTTTTGCACAAGATAGGATTGTGACAAGCTCAAGTCAGAAAAAATCAACCTGTGGTATGATGCGAGGTCAGGCGTGACCACAGGCACTATTTTTTTAAATCCATTCTTTAACTTTTACTGTGATAATTGAACAAAAATCCTCAGAGTTTTTTGCATAAACGCTTTGGATTTATGTGCGAATGTTATTGACTCAGACTAATTCACTTGAACTTATCCAGTTAGGTGCTTTATTATACGAACGCAGACTGAACTACAAGTTGCTCCAATTATTTGTTTCTGCAAAGATTACAAGAGATTAGAAGATCGTGTTAAAGCTCATACATTTGCCGTCTCTATCGTTAGCAATTTATGCGATATTACGTTCCTGAAACGCTCATACGAGCGACAGAGGAAAAGCTGGCACCTTAGAGCTCTAGGTGGATTCAGCCACTGCTATTCTGTAGTCTAATCCCGTACTTTTCGAGCAATGTTTAACTGTGCTTATCTTATCAGAAAGAAAAGGCAGTTTTGATGAAGCCTATTGGCTAGGCTTGTCGTTTTGGGCTGTCATTTTTTCTCAAATCTAACCCAAGAAGCTGTCACTGATGCAATTAGAGGGCTATTTGCTGCAAGGTTCAGTATTTCGTCCTTATACTCTTTCCTTGTGCACACACTACAGGCTGTTCGAAAGATGTTACCCTAAAGTGCACGTTTTGTATGTTATGGGTGAAAGAAAAGGAGTTGGTTCTGTACATTTCTATTACTGAGCTTTTGTTAGCATTTTATGTGGCAAGTGTTTTTGTACAGGCTAACTTAGACCTTTAAAAGTGTAAGCCAATTTCGTTTTGGATTTTCATGGATTTACTTTATGTGCTTTCATTGTTCATCCAGCAATTCAAAACATTTATCCATCTGCTCCTCTGTAGAGCAGATGACAATACAATCATCTTTTATTTGGAGCTGAATAATGACCAAAGGTTGATCACTAGGACTTTAGCTTCAGACCTGAAAAGGTAAAGCAAGGCTTGGGTTCAATTGCTGTTCCATTGACAATCTCCTTATTTTTACAAATTGATACTTACACTATGTAGAGATTGAGCAGTTTAGGCACTTCTTCAAAAAGCCCAAGACCTGTCGAGTTGAAAAAACCGTAGACACTTATAGCTTTTTCGTGCTTCCTGAAGCTCTCGTGGATGGATTCTGTATGGGTTGCGCAATGGAGAGTAACGTTCTGCGCTAGTCTTAAACACAGAGATTACTAACTTAGAGTAAAATGCTCGATTTTGTGCGAGTTTTCCACGCGGGACTCTTTAACGTAGACACGTCGAGCAACTCACGTTCGGATTATGATTGTTCATAAAAATTATAATACATTATATGCAATTTGACGATACTAGTTGAGCGAATAATGGAACACTGAATACTCGGGACAGAACTCAGAGCCTTTGACCCACTTTTATACAAACCGGTGACAAAGACTCTGCCCGATCAAGCTCTTCACTATGGGAAAAATGCAAGCCTCACAGTCGACAGTAGTGTGAGCACAAAGGGTTACGGGCAAACAACCTATGGGAAGGAAAATTTAGAGCATAGAAGTTGCAAACAAATTCTTTGATGAGAATGTATCAAAGAAGCTTGTACCAAATGTTAACGTGAAAGCAGTGTTATTGCAGCCACTAATAGCTATAAATTACGTTCATGAGGGATCAATTGAAGCTTGACTGATTGCTTGAGAAGATTCAGTTGAGATAGGATAGCCGCACAGCAGCCACATGCAAGAGTTAATGTGGTAGACTCACAATAATATAGAAATTGGAACTATTCGGGAAATGATTACTTCAGATATCATCGTGGAGTTAGTTGACATGTTTATTTGAAGAGCGAATACGTCGACAAGCTCCATCGTATACGCGTTGTTGGAAAAGGCGTCATGTAGTTGGTCCAGAAACATTCGAGTGTTTGTGAATGAGCTTGAGCGTATTTCAGCAACTGGGTCAGCACTAGGTTTTCAAACCACATTGTGCTATCCGTTGGCCTATCTGAACAGCTGATAATGAGTCTAGCCCTGAACTTTGAGGGGTCGGTAGATGTGAGATGATTATCATAGATGTCAAATTATCTGTTTTGATAAGTAGAATATATGACACAGCTCGTTGCTAGTTGAAATTCAAGATGAGAAATATCTGATGATGTTAAACCAGCCACGTTTACCACATTGACCCATTCCCTGTTCAATTTTCGGTATTGACAAATAAATTCTTTTTCAGACGATGGACGATAAAGGTAGCATTTTGAAGAGTTTTTCCATTGTTTGAACATCTAGCTGATGAGAAATACTATAAACTGTCCGCCTGTATTCTAATAAATCTGGATTTTATTAGTTCTTCAACCTGTCGCATGCCACTTTTTCGGGTTGCTGTGAGGTGCGAACTAAACTTTTTTCCTCGTGGTCGTGCTTGAGAATTAGTCCAAAAAATATAGAAGTTTATATTTACTTCAGCGCTTTGGCTGAAGAGCGCACAAAGAAAAGAAGTGGCTGATAAAGTTCTCACTCTGTGTTGATCAAATTTGATCAGTAATTCGAGATTACATTTGTAACGGAATCAATATGAAAGCGTTGCACTGATGAGAAATTTGAGACCATTCCTATGAGCGAGCGAGCGAGCAAGCGCAATTAGGGAGAGTGACCATTGAGTTAACTGGAACGTTATCAATATTAGCATAACTTTTAGGGGCCTTTGCAAGCGGTATTCCGATGCTTCATATACCGCTTCTTGATTCGTCAGGTCATGGATCTTTTAACCCTTCACGGACGATAAGGGTCATTATAACCATCAAATTTTCAAAAGGTCCCTTTTGCTAAACAAAACTCTCATCCATATTTCGAGTGGTCAATCAAAAGGTTAAATTTCAGCAATTTTAACACTTTGCTTGGTCTTAGGATAGACCTTCTTGATGTGCAATAACAACGAAAATAAGATTATGACTCAGATTCAATATACCTTGTTTGCTCGGCTAAGGGCTGTGGATCGTTTTTAATCAGATTACACTAAAACTCATTTCATAGTACAGATTTCGACTATTCCAATACTAAATGTGCTTTCTGATCAGCTCTCTATAGTACGTTGTAAACGCGAAAAGAAGATTACATTGCTCTCTTGAAGTTTTCTTTGCACATAGAAGTTGTATTTGCACAAAACATTTATGAACGTGTAGAGAAAATCATGCTTCACAGAGTAACATAAGGAAACTAAGGTTTTCTCCAAATAAGAAAAAATCCTTATTTGAAAACAAAAATTGCGCGTCGCTTGCGAAAATTGAGAATCGCCATCCACAAAGGGTTAACCGAACTGCTCAGTCTTTGAATGGTTCAGGAAAAGATCAAATGGTATTCCTAGTTTATCTTTGTCATTATTGGACTGCTCAGTTGATATATCACTAGCCTGCTTATAAGGTGAAGAAATTGTAAATGGTGAAAAGACACTGCGAAGTTAATTAAGTGGTAAGCAAAATATCGACCTCAGACGGGAGCTGAACCCGCGTTTCATCCGTATAGAGGCCCGTGCTTCCACTAAACACCGTGGTATCCTTTCGCTACCACCCTTTTTTCGATACACGGCATCGAATCTGTCAGCAATTAACCGTCAACATGTTCGAGCTGGTAAGCACATATCGTCATTAGATCCACTTGAGGTGACAGGCATTAAACATGTGTAATCTATAATAGATGCCTTTGTCATAGCTATCAGCATCTTGATGATTAACATCACAATGGCTCTAAGCCTAACTGCGTTTATAAAGCGAAATTGCATATCCGACCAAGCCTGTTAAAGGTTTGTGGCTGATAGCTGCCATAGAGATAATGAAGAATGAGTGGTAGCGCTAATGTACCTCGGTGGTGTAGTGGTAGTACGCGTACCCGCTATGGATGAAACGCGGGTTCGACTTCTGTTTGAGGTAGTAATCTTGCTCTCCATTCGATTCTCTCAGGTATGCATGAAACACCATCACACGGTGATAAAGGCAGTAAAAAGTTAAAAAACTTGGACATTATGAAGATTTGTTGAGAGCGGTAAGGGCTCAAATTTTGGTCGCTACTGTTCAGAACCATCCAGATTCGTTGTCACATCACAATTTCCATAGACAGCAGAAACTGAGGTTATCTGAAATCCTCTTTCTGAGCTATACGCAAGGCTCATATGATGGACTATATTTTGACAGCTGCCTTCTCGGCGTTTCAAGCTTGAAAAGATTAGGTTGACTACAGCTCAGTCAATCAAACGCCCTCCATTACTCCAACAGAAAAGAAATCAAGAGCCCCATAAGTGTAAATCTTTTGGCGTGATCAATCTCTGAAGGATGCGCCATGCGTTCGTCTTGAATTTTCAGCTTCGTTTCCAGGTGATTGAATGCATATCTTGCCAATACGAGGTAATACATTAAACTTTAATCACAGCTGACATTTCGGCAGTTCGCCTTCTTCAGAGCCTGGAAAGGTCAAATTGTTTGCAATCCAGTCAGTCAAGCACCTGCATTACTTCTTTAGAAAAAATCACCACACCTAAATTTTAATCCCATCAAGCACAAAATCAACTCTCAACATACTTACCGCTTTTTATATGTGTTCCACTAAATGATTCAAGTGGAGGTTACCGAAAGGAGATCATATAGGCTCATAATGCACCTTTCCCATCAAAACAACAGTCTTATATACTGACTTAAATCATGAGTGAAAACGAGGCATTCCTTCTGCGGTCTATGGTTGGATTGGCCTTACTAATCCAAAACGCTTCTAAGATCTTCCGCACTAATTTTTATTTGCTCCTGCGCAAGGATGGTGACTTCGACTTCAAAATCAACTTCGTCGTACTTCTGTGCTCTATGCGTCCCTAGCAGGGTGTTCCGTCTATTAAGACGCTTGTCAGCTAGGTGTTCTTTTATGCGGGCATAGAGCGGTCTACCCGTTTTGCCAATATATTTATCGCTACACGCTTTGCAAGAGATTCGGTCGACTGTACCTACGCTCATGCAATCACCGTCTCTGCCGTTAGAACATATCTTTATAATCTTTCGTTATACAGAGACGGTCATATAAGCGGTTGCGAACTAGTTGGCGTTATAGAATATTCCATGGTATTTCTATAATGGCCACCGATTGCTCTAAACCCGCTCTTTTCAAACGGCGTTTTATAGCTATACTTATCCCATTTGAAAAGAACGGGAGGATGAACGGGACTTTTATTTCATTCGAGTTTTCGTTCGGAGGCGCATTATTTCTTCTAAACCTAAGCCGAGGGGTTACAAATTCGTATCCATTAGAAGTGGCTATTTCTCGAGCCAGTTTCACGGATTACACTCTCTGCTCCTCCCCGGTACATACATTGGTTGCTGTTCAAAACATGTTTTTTACTAGCGCCTTCTTCGTATGTGAGGGATGAGAAGAGAGATAGTGAAGCTGGATATTCTTATTACTTGGCTTTCGATAGCACTTTGTTATGTAGCCGCTCTCAGTCAAGCTTATTTGAACATTCAAGAATGGGAGCAAGTCGTCTTTTGGTATCTCACGGGTGAATTTTATATACTTTGACTGCTCATTCAACAATCCAAAACAATTGTCTAGCTTCTCTTGAGTGGAACAGATAAACAAACACTCATCTATATAGCTACAGTAGATTAATGGCCGGAGATCCATCACTGGTGCTTCCACTTTAGATATAATGGCAATCGCCAGGCTAGGGCCAGTTGCTGCCCCATTGCCAGCCTCCCATTTCAGCATAATAATTCCCGGACTATCTGAAGACTGAGCAGTTCAGGCACTCTTCAAATAGGACCATGAACTGCTCAATCGACAAGCCATACCTGTTCACAGCTTCCGTGTTGTATCAGAAGCTAAGTTATTTTACGGAGAAAATTCGATGTTCTTTTGAGTAGATCCCATAACATTATTTTGAGAAGGCATACGGATACCGTTAATTAAGAACAAGCGAGTCACAATAGGGCAAGTAATGCACCAAGAAATCCAACGGTTACTGTGTTAGGAGGCATAACTCTCATTGACGGGTGCGCGTTGTTCAACAACGTCTTTGCGGAAAGTAACATAATTTCAACTGACATAGCACATCTGAGTGCACGTGGCTCAGTGGTTACAGGTGCTCTGAGCCGCACACGAGTTCAATGGCTCGATCTCGCCCTTATGGCACATCAATCCATCCGTCCCTCTGAGTCGGTAAGCTGGTACCAGACAGGTCTCAGACTCGTCTGGAAGAAAAGCAGAAGTGGCTTGATACAGCGGGAGGCCACCGTGAGTGAGCAGGAGGCTTATCACTAAATACTGTTGTAAAGAAGAATATATATTACAGGAACTAACCCAAAATTCGTTCATATTTCGAAAAGAAGAAGACAGTGCTAGTCGATTATGAAAACATAAGTCAAATTCCATAATGGGTAGATAGCTCGATGAAAATTGTGAGCGTTGTTCGTTCATTTCAGGATTACTGTCATGCATGTGACTCTGTCAAGGCGACAAAATGCATTTTTGCTTCCTATAATTACTTGTGGTCGTCTACCGTTCAACTTAAAGTAATTAGCAGTTCTTTTCTCTAGCAGGCTTTATTAAAAGAAATTTTTTATGAATGTAGTCAACGACAACCATTGAGCACACCACCATTCGTAAATAGTGCGAAACTCATGCACTGCCATATGTAAATGTTGGCATAATGATCGACGTAAATAAGTAGCGTCTGCTCAGCAAATTGAGCGTGTTATCTAATATTACTAGGGAAGTTATTCTGAAACTCATTTTTGAGGCTGGACAAAGCCGAACTTGCAAAAAAAAAACGGACACATCGGTGCATGGGTTACTTCAGATTACCCTTAAGAATTGTAGAGGTTTCTGAGTAATATCGTGTCAAAACCCATTTACAAAAGAAGCCTTTTGTAAGGGAAATGGGCCGATCAGATGGATCACCAACTGGGTAAAATATTACTTGCATGATTTTTGAACTATCTCTGGGTGTGTATAACAATTTGAAATACAACTCGATGGAAGACAGCGAGCAGCGTGAGCCGAGCTTGAGCCTATGTCAGAGACCACTGGCCGATGTCATTTTCCTAACACATATACTTATTTGCTGCTACAGCCCCAGCTTCGCAGTCTGTGGCAGGAACATGTGACAGTATTTCTTAATAGAACTACGTCTCTTGAGAACATTTTCAACATTGAGCCCTGTTTTCGCAATTCACATCTTGGAAGGATGCCCTGTCTTTGAAGCAAAGCAAAATATGCATCACAATCAAAAAAAAGTTTGATGGGGAGGGGAGATCTGTATAACAAGATGGGGCGATGACTGGAGAATGAAAAGATCAATGGAGTGGATTTGGAAAAAGACATTAGGCTGGACACATAGTACGTTCTGCTGACGGCGGATGACGATAGAAGTAAGCCGCGAGAATCCTTTGAAATGTCTAACGCGCAATAAGAAGGCCACCTGATACGGTTCAACTTCTCACAAAAAATCTCTGAATGGGCATGATGACCAAGCAATCCCTCCAGTGAGAGAGACTTACTGAGGCTTCTCGATGTATTAGGAGAATAAGGAAACTCCGCTATAGTTACTCGACAACAGCGAGACGACAAATTTTATAGTTGATGGTATTCCATACAAAAAACATCTCGAAATTCGGGGACATATAACAAAATCGTATTGAAAGTGCAGGCAGAGTACTGTAGCGAAATTGTTTGTTGTTTGGCAATTCAGCCAAAACGACACGGAAGTCTTAAATACGAGACGGCTGTGAATGCAATAGCTTATTCAGCTTCAATCACGGCTTGTACAACTCGTAAACAGGGTTTATGGTAATAAAGCGTTGACGGTGCTTTTGATTTGTCATTCGCGAAATAGTTGAAACAAAATTCACTATATTTCAAATCGGAGACTTTTTGCCACACTTTGAAAATGATTAAAACTTTCTGCTTCGAACACTATGTCGTTAGTCAATGGGATGAGATTTCCACAGCGAATACATGATTAATCAAGACATTTCTCACTACGATTGCAAAGAAAATTCTGGAGCACTTCAATAATCATGTGATAACTTCCATGCATATCATGTAAAAATATCACACTTTCTCATGTGGGATTTCGCACTATGGGCCTAGACATGATTCTTCTTTATTTTCACTTTCTCACAAGCCTTCGCTCTGTCTGACGACACAATCGCAGTTCGTGTGTTTTATTACGTCATCATTGGAGAAATGGTCTTTCACATCGAGCCACAGTCGATGAAATCAACGAAGTTGAAAGGGAAGGCATAACAAGCAAATCCGCTGATGGACGTTGGTTTCAACGCTTCTCAATGCCGGGGATCTTGATCTCGTACGCAAGCCTCGTTCAGGACGTCTAATAAGTCTGAGCCGTTTGATGAAGCTGAAGAAGCACTGAAAAAGTTCTTTGACACGATGCAAAAGAGCTGTACTCTGACCAACTTTGAAACTTGGCCTGCCGTGGCAGAAAGTCGTAGGAAACGATTTCATTTATTTTGAAGACTAGTCATCGTTGCTTTTGTTTGGAATTCATGCATGAATTTTTAGTTTTCTACAAGTACTCCATAACTTTCTTTTGAACCTAACAGTTTCTTGGAAGTGTAGGGCCACTAAAGAGCTCTTCAAAATTTAAAATCTCGGCCATCGCATGCTCCGCAACAATTCAGTGAACAAGAGGACGAGTAACATGGTCCAACTGGTAAAATGTCAGAATGGCATCAAATTTTGTTGTCTTTCTCTCTATAATACAGCAATATCTGCCTTGGTTATTGTGGAAAGACATCTTCAGGTCTTCAAACCTCGAAAACTGATTGAGTCGAGTTGATCACTTAGTGCAGTGAGCAAAACTCCAAACTTTCCAAACGTTTTTTCGAAAACATTACAGAAATGGAGAGACCAATAAAGAGATTGTAATCAC